TATACTCTGTTAGCGACACCTGATCCCCCTCTGTGCTCCTCTTAAATCCATGTGATCCTACCCCCTCCCCCACCCCCAGGCTTAAACAATGACTAATACCTGGCACTGACAGCATTACTTACTTGCGTAGGTGTCTTTATCAGTGGGTGGTCCATAGCCCTTCGACGTATATCCCTTGAGTTCAAGGCGATACCTTGTTCCAGGACGTAGATTGCACAGCGAGGCATTGAAAGTGGAACCATCTACTGTCACGTTACCCTCATTCCCATCATTCTCAGGATCATGCTCACTACAGGTAGGGATGTACGAGAGGGTATACCCAAGAATTAGACCCCCGCGTTCATTCTCGGATATGGGATCCCATTTGACTTTGACACAGCCCTTTTCATCGGGATAGGCCTCATGTATGTGAGGGCCGGACATTGGCACTGCAATAGGACAAAAAAAGGCTGATTAATAAGGAAACGTTAACACTTTTAAGCACGCACACATTCTAGACCATCTTTGATTTAGCAGACCGTTTTATCCAAGGGTTAATTTTTGTGAAGATAAATGTGAACACATGAAAAGCATCAATTCATTTAAAACAATTAGTGTGTTTCCCCCTTAAATTGCTGTTCATCTTGCAAACATGACATAAACATAGAGCAAAATCACGTGAAATGGATGAGTGATTCATTGCTTCACTGGGGTACAATTCAACTAGGAGGTGTCAGATGATGCTAATTATGATGATGGAGACAACATAATTTCAAACTCGAGGCTACTAACATAACTGTCTTTTCAAAGAAAAGTTTAACATCGATAATGCCTTAGCAATATTTTGAAAATAAGTACCTGACTCATCGGTGGTTGTTGTTGTCTCGTTGCTTTTGTGAGGCCGACCTGACACATCCACAGCTACAACTAATATGCGATATTCATGGTAAGGAATCAGCCCATGTAGCCACAGGGATGAAATGGATGACGTCACAATCCTTCCATTCACATAGTCATGTCTCGTTGTGGAGGCAACGATTACAACATAGACTTCTACTGGCTGATCGATCTCAGAGGTCAACACTGTCCACTCAATTCGCAAACTGTCCTCTGTGATATTCGTAACGCTTACATCCCAGCCACTGACGTGTTGAGCTGACCAGACAAAGAAGAAATTGAGAACAGCAGTCAGAAATTGAGATGAATGTTATTGTATTTATTTTATTTTATCTTTTTTTTTGCGTTTGACGCCTTGTGACCCCTTACATAGTGGCACACTTGGTCACATGACCAGAGAGGCTTCAGTTTCTCTCACACGTGATTTTGCTAGTAATAATTTATAATTTAATGATTATATTGCGCAAATTAACATTTGGATATGATCAAATGCGCATCACAACACTATTTGGGGGACTTGGCCGGACTTCATTAGCATTTTACAATCAATCGAAGGAAACTTATGAAACTTTGCTATTATATACAAGGCTCACCGGATTCATAACTGCCTTGAAGAAAAACATAAGCTCCGTCAAAAGAGACATCGTCAATATGGTGTTGATCTATTTCCACAACCACTTTCGAAGCCTCAAATTCAATTATTTGGGTAGTCCTCTCCCGACAGACATCAGAATGATGAATGTGATCGTCTGGAAACCTCTTGATGTTAACATGTGTTCTAACGAAATAGAAAACATTGTACATAGTGAATCTTGATATCGATATGTCTCCATCCAGGCTAACCTTGCATCCTACTTGGAAATGGCTTTATCGTACGTGAAAGGGTAATGTATCTTTTTGTATTATTTTATTATTTGTTCAATAATTATTTGCTGCACAAGATAATTATTCAAGCAGAACTTTTACTACAAAAGTAAACAGCTGTAACCGAGCCAAGCGACCTATCCAGTGTATCTGATTTATTTTAAAATGCGAAGCATCGTGACGACGCGCAGCTGGGAACGACGGCTTTGGTTAAATAATACGAGTCATCCCGCCCCATCCCTCCACTAACACCCACCCCACCCCCCTCACTAGCACCCGACCCCCCTTGTCATCTTAGCTGCTAACCTGTCTCTGCGTGTTGTATGAACAAAGTGGAAATTGAAGACGATGCTCGTGCTCATTAGAGGCAAGATAATTCGTTTCAAGAAAACAAAAGCATCGGCAGAAAAGACGAGCTCGTCATTAAACGATTAAATATAGAAAATTAAATGGAAAAATGAAACTTACCCACATTTTGCTCCTTTTTCTACATAAGTGTTAATAATGATATGATCTCCCTTGGGGTCACCTTCATTCCCAATTATCCATTCACACCTCCTTTCCTGCGGCTTTGAACCTTTCATAAAATGTAATGTACCAAACATGTCTGTTCTGTTCGAGCCACCATCGCACTCTATTTGAAAACAAGTTAAAAAAAACAACATATTTAAATGATCAATTGTTTGAAAATTACGGGAGATAACTCTCTGCCTTAATTTCCCCACTTAAAAGTTTTCAAATCCAGTAACATAACCGAACTCTTCGGTAAAGACAATATAATGAAGTTAAAAGCATTGGTGACAAATTTGTTTACGTCTTTATTTATCTATTAATTTATTTTTCAAAGGTATCTTTCTGATTATTATTATCATTATTATTATTATTATTATTATTGTTATTATTAGTTGTAGTAGTAGTAGTAGTAGTAGTAGTAGTAGTAGCAGTAGTAGTAGTAGTAGTAGTAGCAGTAGTAGTAGTAGTAGTAGCAGCAGTGGTAGTGATATTATCATTATTATTATTATTATTATTATTATTATTGTTATTATTATCATTATTACATCAGGGAGAGGGTAAGGAAGAGATAGAGGAGCGGGTACCACCGTGCTGAAATAAAGCGCCCGCAGCACTCACCGATCCAACATCCTGAGTATAATGGAATCTACAATGTTGTAGTTCAATTTTGTCCTTGGTTCAAATTTTATTTTCCTTTGTTTCAAACTCATTATCATACATTAACATGACCGAGAGCAAAAGAAAAATAAAATTTCAACCAAGTATAAAATTGAACTACAACATATATATACAGATGCCAATTCGAAATCGGAGTTGCGTCTTACCTAAATGAACAAGTTCCCCACATGAAACTCCCACTGTTGCTTCCTCGCTACAGTGATGATCATGATACCCTTCATCGCGGCACTTCAGTAGTGGTGTGTCTTCGCTATCGCATTCAAAGTCTCTAGGTAGGTACGAGTAGTTGCCCCTACCAAACTCAGAGTCACGGAACTCCCACTCCGGATCTGGCAGACCGAGCGTTCGGCACACAGATGTGAAAGCGCGCTCATTAAAATGATGCTTGCAAAGCCTCCACCAGGTATCGTTGAAGTAGATTTCGATTCGCCCCTGGTTATCGCGTCCTCCATCGACAAGTCGCAAGTCACCTACCAAGGAATAGAGGCCAAATCCATTGTTGATATGATCAATACCAGATAGGCCTTATGCAAAGATATTCAATAAAATCCGGTCTCTGACCAGCGTTCTACTAATGCCTGTAAGACCTCTTAACATGGTCTATTGAGCTTGCGAGAAGGCTTTCCTGTTTGGATTTCGCCTTATGGCCCCTTTTCCTAGCAAAGCCGCCTTTAATAACATCGGCAGCCACTTATGGAATATTTTCTTGACATCCCAATCTTAAGCATAGCTTTCTTTTCATTTTTTTTTTCCTCTTTTACTCCCCAGTCTCGCTTTACAAATGAAAGCTGCTGGATATTAACAGGAAAGTGTTTCCACATAATGAAATTAGAAGAAAAGCCACACGAAAACAACAACAAAGAAAGGGGGCAAGGATTCATTAAAATTTTGGTGAAAACTAGGCTTAAATAACACGTACAGTAATCAATTCCTTACTGTGATTATTATTGGTATTATTATTTTTTTCTTATATATTAATGCCTGGATTGTGCGATTTAGTCGACGTTGATGCTACCGTTCCAGTCTTTTCGGAAACAGTAAGAGGCTGTTTTTTTTTTTCTTCTTCTTCTTTTCTTTTTTTTTTTTTTTTGATGGAATTACATTTTATTTTGTGCATCTTGAGATGTTCGTCCTGAATTTTTCAAGTTCTTCTATTTACCATCTGTTTCAGTCGTACACATTCTAATTTTCGTGTTTTTCCATCATCACTTTAACGTATCGTTGTTTCTCCTGCGTTGAAGGTAACTTAACCCTTTGCATTCACAATCTTATGTAGCTAATTTTTCTTTTTTAACAGAAACAACAGGAATTCAAACCCCCCTTCCCCTCTTCACCACCCCAGGGAAAAATTCACCACAACTTAGGACCTCTATCTACATGTAATACAAATTGATGGACATAAAAGGTGTCTGGGGCTAGAAAAACTGTAACAAGGTAAGTGTTTATAAGCTTAATCTTGAACAGGGATTTTAGCAAATGAATTTTTTTTTGAGGTGGTTTACGAGTATTTTAGCCTACCCATCGCCACTCCCAAACACTTAAGAGGAACCCTAAACCCGCTAGAAGTACATGGACAACTGGTAATATGATGAATGCTGAGTACATTTCTGCATGCTTGTTAACTCACCCTCTGTTAGACTGGCTGCCACAGGACTTATCACTGCGAAAAGACAAAAGCATTAATGATTAAAATGTAAATTGAAGAATTAGCTATGCCTCATAAATAACTTTGAGCTATCATGAGAGAGGTAGAGGATTTCTCAAATCATCCGCGCACGAGTGTCACTGGTTACTTTTAATGTAGGTCTGTATTGTGAGACAGTTTAAATTATTCTCCTTGCTTGGCCCACGCTCAAATTTTGGTCGTAAGGGCATTTTTACAACGCTTGATTACGAGGGGATAGAGTTTGATCCTCTCCTAAGAAAATTTTAAAATGATAACCTTGAAAACTGAAGATTCTTGTTTAATAATCTCGTGCACGAGATTATTAAAGTGCTACTGAAACGTAATTTCCATATCCGAGATTTTTGCAACAGAATAGAGTTTGAACGTTATTTGCAAACGCTGTGTACTTTTTTTGGGCCAACGCATACCGGAAAGTACATTTTTAACAATTCGAAGTTGACCGGCTGAGATCAAAATTGGCGGCCATCGTGGCGCGGCCAAAACAGCCCTGTGACGTCACTGGTTGTGTACTTCTGTGAAAGAAGGGTAAAAGCATGGAGTGTGGCTTGCATGTTGGGAAGCCGAAAAAGAGGATTTCGGGCAAAATGCCATCCTCGTCTTCTTCATCGGCGGCCATATCGGCATCTTGGCTATCTGCGAGAGGTTCGCCTGGATAGGGAGCAAAATTCCCGACTGATACCGA